AARMRMAAAAAAAAGAGGTTAACAATRAAAAGAAATAGGACGTTATGTAGGGATWACTACTGCAAAGTGCAAAATTATTATTAGGTATTAGCTTGATTTTTGAAATTAGCTTTTTAATTTAAACTCGTTTTTCGTAGCAGCTGTTTACAAGTCACTATAGCGGTAGAGTTTTCATGCAAACCAGTGTAAACTCACCACTAGATAATGTTTGCGAACTAGATTATTTTGATTCCATATTTTACAAGTTGTTCCTAACAAACAAAAATCTTTCTGTAACAAAGTGGTTTAAGAATTAGTTGATTGCTTATGTACAATGTATATATGTTACCTAAAGCCTGGCTAAAGTTTGTTACACTGGTGTTGCTGTAAAGTCTTCATGGTGGGCTAAACATACGCGAAATACAATTGATTTATTCATCATGCAGTCGTGTATAGCAAGCTAAAAATGTTTCTATTGTGTATCATCATTTGTGTCCCAGCTACAAATTTTGATGCGTGCAGCAATACTAGTGAAGGCTGCGTTGTTATACGTGTGCGCGAGGACACTGATTATTCAAAGCTACGTATAACTTAGCGCAAACGCAAATTAATAACGTTTAAGTACATATGTCTTACGTAACTGAAAAACTAGGCAAATGAATAAAGCTTGAGCAAGWTAAAAATCGCGTAATTAGTTGCTTAACGGATAAAAATCGCAATGGCACCAGTTTCATGTAAGATATCAAAACGAAATCTAAGTTGTCAGCCCCATACGTAGTAACAGTAAKAGCTGTACGTAAACTGARCGCAAGACAGTTAAACTCGTGTAGTTATGGAATTCTCGGAATCGACACGCTGTCGCTGATCTGTTTCCTTKGACGGTGCATTGTTATCTGTATTACCAGTAGAAATCGTCACCATATTTTCGCGGCGTTTGTAACAGTTAATAAYACGCCAGATGTTCTTACGGAAAACRCGGGACTGAAGGCTATAAATGATGGGATTGATACTGGAGTTGAACGTAACGCAGACAATGGAGACGATATGCACTGCGTCATACAAAGGTGTTTCGCTGTAGACAGCTGCGGGATACGTAACGATGTTAGGCATCCACAGAACGCAGAATACTAGCGATACCGTAAGCACCATTTTAGTAACGCGTTTACGCGCGGCAATGGTCGTTTGATGAGATGATGTCTGAACCTTCATCTGGAACCAAAGTTTGTACGTAACCCTTGCGTAAAGACAMACCATGGTAGTGATTGGAATYCCTCCGAATACAAACGCGTTAATAACACTGTGATACTTGGTGAAATCCTTGAACGGCCACGCAAAGTTACAAAACTTGTTYTTCTCGTCAAAATATGAGAAAAGAAACAGAGGAAGATTCCACAAGGTCGCRAAGACCCAGCATGCTGCAGCAGTRAGTTTGAACTTGTTCATTGTAAACCGTGCTTTACTACTGTGTGGTTTCATGACGGCGTAGTATCGCTCGATGGAGATGGCAACGAGGGTGTAGACTGAACACAGGGCACCCACCCATGTGAACACCTCACCTGTCAGCAATTTACATACGTAGTTTCCGACTGTACCTCCAGGGTGGGTATAGGCATGACTGAAAATGTACCTGCAATGAAACAATTAACAATTAGACCTCGAGGTCGAGTGGACTACGAGCTAATAGCCCAAGAGGCCGAGTCCGCGAGGCCGAATGGGCTATTAGCTCGTAGTCCACGAGGCCGAGAGGTCTAATTGTTTTAGTATAAACATACTCGGTCAAATAATGAAAACAAATTGAAATATCCTTAAAATAATTTATCAATGAGATTGATTTTCCCGCGAGTGGTCTATCACAAATTAGACCATTAGTAGAGTAGC